TTGAGACAAGGATATAAAATTCTACAAGTAGTGGTTCAGTGACAATTCTATATTCAATTCTATTTAAGAAACGAATTTAATTGAATATAACAAATTCTATAATCTAATCTAACATCTCATCGGCGGCATTCAAACTACATTAAAAAAAATCGAAAAATCAAGTTTTCAAGTTCAGATTGTTGCCATTTCAAGACAGAGAAAAGCTTCTATTCAAAGTGGAACAACACTCTTTCAGTTAACGGTCAACATTCAAGTCCTATAGAGTTCTGGGAAGGATTAGATGATTTGCAATTCTCCTCCCAAGATGGTCTTAAGCGTGATTCCTTAGGGTTTAGATTTGCAAATCTGACTGGCCAAGCCATCGTGGAAGGACCTTTACTTCTCCGCTCCGAATTTTCAGTAGTCTAATTTTTAATTGATTTCCCCTTCCATAGGAGGATTTAGACAAAAATTTAATATTTAGGTGAACCAATGCTTCCGAGGTTGCATCTGCGTAGTATGGATATATAACGCATATAAATTATAAAGATAATAATGGCAATGTAAAATAATTAATTTTCTCAATATTCCATTTATTAGATACCTTTTGTTGCTATGAACTTCGAGTGAATACATCATTAATATACACTTGTGTAATTAATTTAATTAAGCCATAGTAATCATTCTCTTCTAAAATCACAGTAACTTATAACAGCAGTTTATTTAACACTGAAAGCAAAAAACGAGCAAACAGTATAGAAATGGCAATCCCAAATGCCGCGAAAGTGTTCGCTAGTAAAGGAAAATTGATTTCATCGAAAAGAGTAACGAATCACGAGGATGGATTTTTCTGTGCAGTATAATTTCCTTAAATGACGCTTGATTTTTGTTTCCAGCGTTTGCAAGGCTGAATCAATTTTTATTTAAAACATCCGTTATTTTTAAATCAGAAGTACACGAAGGCATCCCTTCCCACAGACAACCATACAGTACTTTGCTATAATCAAACAGTGTAATATAAATAAAGCGTACAGCTGCGTAATATATATGTAGAAATTTGTAAAACTTTCCCAAAAGAAAAACATGAAAACAACTATATTCTCACTGTAAATGGAATCATGAATTTTCCGATAGTGTAATGTTTTCCGCAAGAAAGCGCACGGGAAGAATGTTGTTATTCTTTTATTTTCAGTGTAATATAAATAAAGCGTACAGCTGCGTAATATATATGTAGAAATTTGTAAAACTTTCCCAAAAGAAAAACATGAAAACAACTATATTCTCACTGTAAATGGAATCATGAATTTTCCGATAGTGTAATGTTTTCCGCAAGAAAGCGCACGGGAAGAATGTTGTTATTCTTTTATTTTCAGTGTAATATAAATAAAGCGTACAGCTGCGTATATATGTAGAAATTTGTAAAACTTTCCCAAAAGAAAAACATGAAAACAACTATATTCTCACTGTAAATGGAATCATGAATTTTCCGATAGTGTAATGTGTTTCGCAAGAAAGCGCACGGGAAGAATGTTGTTATTCTTTATATCTCTTCCACCGACTTAAAGAGCGATTGAGAAACCTAGTAGATGGCAACTGGTGACGAATTATGGTTGATGATTTACGAACTACTGCAGAGACTAAACTTTTCGGTGTGAGAAATATGAAATATTAACCACAGTCTTGTAAGAAATCGAACCGTGGATCCAAAGAACTTCTATGTAAAGAAGAAAGGCTGCATAGACGTAATGTAAACTAGTTTGTCTTCTACGCCGCTAGAAAGAAGAGGGAAAATTCGCCAAGAGGTTTGGCGACGGAACCTGTTGGCAAGAATTTCTCCCTCTGTGATGTACCCGACCTGGCCGAGATTTTCTTTCTCCGTGACGTGTACAGGAAATTGAGGAACACGGGTTAAGATGAATAAGAAAATTATGTGAAGTTTCCCTTTCACTGGCTGTTGAACTTGCATTACCCATCTCGCAGTTTAATGTCTGATTTTATATCCGTTAATACGGAGGGAAAAAAATGGAGTCACACAGCTTTAAAATCTTGATAAACGTGACCGAGGAACCTGTTCGAACTTCGACATCAGCTTCGAGCTTTGGCGCTTGTTTGGCGATGGATATTTCAGCGCGCAGCGAAAAGGCTGCGAAGTTTTCTTTCTTTCTTCTACATATTCTTTGGCGGATCTTCCATGTGCACTGTAAGAATCGATTTGACGCACTGTTAGATGATGGACGTATATTTCCTTTTGTATTTAAGAAAACTTTTAATGGAAATGTTGATTCTTTAAAACAAATAAATTAACACAAACAATGATTTTTCGGAAAATATTTAATTTAATTATAAAAAATGAGGATATCTTGAAGTTAGGTATAAAAATTTCAAAGCAATAAAATCTGATATATAAAAACATACATACAAATTTTACAATTTCAGATTAAGGAACACTTTTGTTATCAAATACAATATAAAAATTAAATATGTTTCAAACACTTCATATATAGCAATTTAATATAATTACAATCAGCTTCAAGTGTCTTAAAGATTCAATACTATATAAATATAAATTATTATTACATTTTATTTAATAAAAGGTTAAAAATATGCTTTATGTAAAAATTTATCTGTAGTGTAGAAATGTTTATTAAGTCGAATTATATTAGATGATTATTTAAAAATTATGATATACGATGCTTAAAAATTGCGATATATGATAGAATATATGATTACTTAAAAATAGAGGTACATTAATTCAAAATAAAATAACACGACACAATAAAGTTAATGCACATAATGGCACATTATTTAAAGCATTTTTATATCACAGAAAGGTAAAGATGTCATTTTGATGCAAATGACAGTTAAAATATCAGCTTCTCTATCACAAATATATTAATTATAATATTAAAAAATATCTAGCACAGCACACAAATAAAAGAATTCTTTTTTACTGTGGACTACAATGAATAATTTAATTTCGCTGTTTTTAAGATTTTAAAATAAGTCATTCACCACGCTCACGAAGTAACTTGCAGTATTTCAGATTAAAAAAATTAAATACAATTTCTTATTCAGTATTAAAAAATACACACACGTATATATAAATGTATGTGTTAATTAGCCGCCAATATTGACTTAATTATTACCTATCGATTATAAATGTTATTGGTAAATTGTTTTACATTTTATATAAAGAAGAGAACCAACTAAAAGTGAGATTTCGTATCAGTAAAATGACATCGTGAAATCTGTACTGAATATCATTTGTATTAAAAAACTTTTCTTAGGTGAAACCTGTGAGATCAGAAAAGGCATGAGTCATTAATCTTCTAAATTACTGCTCTTCGCGTAATTTAGCTCTACTAAAGATAAACATCGTACGTATGAAGAAACAGCATGAGTTAATTCATGATTGCTAGAAATCATGCTCAGTAAAAAATGGAAAAAAGAAACCTTTAGTCAAAAAGATGTTTTCATTCTCTCTTACAATTTCTAAACGACGATTTATACTGTTGCTGGTTTCAGCAATTTCATTACATAAGGCGCTTGCAAGCCTTTTATTTATTTAAATACTGATTTTAATTATGCAGTTTCAGATATATAGCTTTTACAAAATAAGGTGACAGATTTTATGAAAACACTTTCAACAGTAGAGAAGGAAGCTTTCGTAAATGCGAAATCTAACATTTGAGACCTCTGCATAAGGGCAAAATAGCAATTCTGTAATAAATTTAACCCCAAAATCAAAAGTGAGATTACACTCAAACACCTTAGCAAAATTTTCAGTTTGAATGTCTTAGGAAATTAAACAAAAACATTCTTAAATTTAATTACCTTAGTAATGTCGTTCATCCATCCTGTGACCCTTATCAGATAATAATCTCTAACGACAAAAAGGTTTTACCAAAGTGGCCGAATTATGAGCATTTTTTAACAAAGATTTTTCCATTTGAGTTAAATAAATAAATACCTTTTCATGCGAAATTCGCAGAGGCAGAAAAATAGGTTTCTTGAGCCTTGCTACAAATTTAACAACAGTTGCTGCTTTACCTAACATGAAATTACTAATCGGCAAGACCAGAACTTTTATTTTATAGAATATTATATATATATATTATAAGTGTATTACACAAAAGGGCATTAAAAGTTCCAAATGTTATTTTCAATTTCAATAAAATCGTCTGAGATATAAATACCACATGTCTGCGAACATGTGAATAAGATCTTTCTATATTATAGAAATGCATTTGTGAATATATGAAATTAATTTTTTGAACTTGAAACTGATGTTAAGTTAATCATTTAAAAAGCAATTTTATTTAGACGTCTTAACATTTTGCCCAAATTATTACTTTATATTATAAATGCTATACATAAAATAGGTTTCTAACATGTGTAACAGGCCAACTGCGAAATTTATAGCTTCACTTCTAAATGTTTATGATCATCACACATATTGAAATAAAATGTAATTATTAATCAAATTGTTATTAAAGAGCTTTATATTATATAGAGAGAGAGACTCTGAAATCTCTTTATACATTTCTTGCTCTAAATCTTCTTTAAAAGGAGATACGTTTTTAAAAAAATATTTCGATATTTTTCTTTTCATACGATTTCAAGTTCAAAAAAGAAACGAATTGAAATTCTTTTTGCTGTAGCTAAATAATAATAAAAAAAATATATTGGGTGTTGCATTGTAAAGTTTTCGATAGGCAAAAAAAAAAAAAAAAAAAAAAAAATTAAGTCACAAGTTTTAAACTTCGTTGAAAAAGTGTGGAGTTTCAACTCTAAAAGGAAGCGAAAGGATCTAGGATAAAAAATTTGTTCTCGAATATCTCTTTCAGTGTTGCATACATGGGTATGGATCTTTGTGGGTTTAACTTTATGAAATATAATTAATATATTGCTAATAGAGATTTTTACTTTACAGGAACAACTTGAAAAATTAGACTTCATATTTATAGAATGAATACCCTAATACTATTTCTATAAAACTCTGTATCTTATTTTAAAAAAATCTGAAATTTGAAATACATGATCAATATACATGTAGCAAACTTTCTAGAATATCTTGTTCAGAAAAGTAATAGTTTCAAGTATTAGTAGCATCCACATGACTTGACAACCATATTTTTATATTTCTTCAGAACAACATTGGAATTATCATCAAAATATATCACTGAAACAGGAGAAAGTTGTGATGGTGCGCAGCAAGGTTTTGGAGCTTTAGCGGGATTGGTCAGATGGACTAGAGCTTGCAGTATGGCATGATTTGTTGCATTCATTTGGCTGTTCATGGGAAAGCGACAGCGACCTTCACAATAGAAAGCACCGTATCCATCAGGGGCTATAATCCAGTCCTGGAAATATAAATAAATAAATTGCGAAATCTCTAAGAAGATTAACACAATCTCTGCATATTCTTTTTTTAGTACCAAAAAATATATATATGTATACCTTTCTTTAGTACTGTGTATACGTTTTTTAGTACTTACTCCTGCGAAGGTTGGCGTAACCCCTATCAATCGATAGTCCAGTGCTGGCTATGAATTCGCATACTTTGAGGCCTCGTGCGTGAGCCCCATAGGGAACGTTTGGCATTATTGTAGTCGTGTTATTATTATCCTGCATAAACCTTTCTAGGATTGTCAGGATTGGTGCAATGTCCTGCGATGGAGGACAGTATACCGTGATTAGTATAAATCTTGAATAACTGCCTATTGCAAGCGCTATAATCTCCGGAGAGTTGAAAAGTTCCAGAACTGGGAGATTTGAGTCCGCTATAATCACTGCAGTTTTTGCATCTATTCGAGAGTAGAACTTCCTATATTTTGTGGGGAACACGTACAGTTTGTTCTGTACTGTGTACGGTTCCTAAATACATGCTACTTTGAGTTCGTCGTTCTGTTCAAAATTTATCTTTAAGTTGTCTGTTGCACTCTTGGAGTGCTTAAGATTAATCTGGATTATTTGGATACTATCCATTATATGTTCGTTGATTTAGTCGTCCAAGCTCTTTTAGACTCTCATGGACATTTCTTATCTCGGCTATCGTGTTAGGCATCGAGGCCTGTATTATATGGTTTATTCACCTTTGTGCAATTTTTTCGTCACAATTGGTTTTCTCATGGTCTGTGGAGCCGCATCCGGCACAGACTTTATCTTCTTTGCAATATTTCGCTGGATGGTTATACCCAAGGCATTTCACCACATTGCGAAACCTTTATAAACTCCCTTACGTTGTTTCTTGTCTATTGTATGCTCAAATTTTTCGTTTTCATAAGGATCTTGAAAGCTACTGGTCTATAGATAGAACACAGTGCTGTCCAAAGCGGGCCTTCATGGCGAACAGGGCCTCTAATTTACTTTCTGCTAGGTCGGTGTTCTGTGTTTTAATGAAGTTTGACATTATACACTGTTATTCTGGGATTTCTTTTTTGGGGATGTTTCGTCTCCACTACGTCTTTCAGCTTCTGATTTTCATTTATGGCCTCTTCAAGTATTGCTAGTTCTTCCTTTTTCATAACTTCTTCTACGAGCCCTCCTTTGTTGACCCTCTTTATATTTTTGACGCCTACTTTGAGTTTCTCTGGATTGATGTACTTCACCAGCTTCTCCTTTACCTCGCTGGATGTGCTACCCTCAGTCTTAGGATAGACTAAGACTGAGACAGACATGCTCTGTCTCTTCTCGTGTTCTCGATTGTGGTCGTATAGACCTAGAACTACTTCTGGATGGCCGTCGAGAACTTGCAACTTCTGCATAAGACAGCTTTTGAGTAGTGACTATTCTTGGATGTATGTCTCTATATTCTTAGTTTGTTCAATTTGTGCTTCCAAATTGGATATTTTGTAACTCTGCTTCGAGACTGTTCTTAACATATGGTCAAAGAAACCTCGTATCTTTTTGTTTGCTTTTGTGGGAATGTCGTCTCTATTTAAATATCCAATTAGATTAGTATAGCACTCTGAAGCCTCCTGATACTCTATACTGGCATTTCTCAAAGTTATATCAACGTTTAGCTGTCGTGTACTGCTCTGTTTCTGTGCCTTATCTATTATTGGAGCACTGGCCGACTGCGTTTCATTTTCGGTACGTTGCTCCTTAAGCTCTTTATTTTTTGGACGAACCATCTCACTTTGTGATTTAAATACCTCCAAAATAAATTTTAAGCAAAAATTACAATTTCACCGCAGGAATTGAACAAACTGACCAACGTGCAGAAAGATTTAAATTTGGGGCACCAAAAACACTTCAGTTAGTGGTGCACCAAATGCCTAGCGTCACCAAACATCTGCCACTCTAAGCCTAGCGCTTACTGAAAATTACAAATGCATATAACCTTTTTTATACAAATACCAAGGTCAAGATTTTCAATATATAGGTAGATAAACACATATAAAATCCTATTTTATACTCAAAAGTTATTTGCACAGTATATAAAAACCTTGAGAGACAATGCTTACTCAGAATATGCAAATGAAGGCGGCAAACAGCAACAATTTTAAAAGTCTTCCTATTCTCAGAGATTCATCTTCTTCGCAGAAAAAAATACCACAAATATCGCAACCGGAACTAGTAATCCATGGAAGAATCACATTTTCACAAACACAAGTAGTATAATTACCAAGATTTTAGCACTTTTAACGGAGCACACAAAAACCACAACCAATATGGCCGCTGATATGCGCACTTCCTTAAGCAGGAGATGTGAAACATGTGCAATGTCCTTGCTCGGACTCGAACCTGGACCTCTCGAATACGCGCCGAGTGTGCTACCTTTACAGCCCGATGGCATGCAGAAAGGAGGGAGAAAATACCTTATAACATCGTTTCATACATTTCTTTTGTAAGTACGCTACATCTTCTAACAACCAAATTCAGCAATTATATTTTTCATGCACGACATGACTTTTCTGGAGTTATTGGAACAAAGAAATATGAAAATTATAATAAATATTTTGATTTAAATATCACGTATAACTTTAAGAGAGCTTAACTATGTAAAGGTTTTTAATTTGTATTAAAATACTCATACCTTGATTACACTTATATGAAAATAAAAAGCATGATATTATGTTTTATTCTATAACTATACTGCATACATGTTTTGAAAGTTGTAATTTAACAAGCAACTACACCAAACAAAGAAAAATTTTGTATGTTAAAATGAAATCTTCGAAGCTCTGATCGAAAATGGAGAGTTTGCTCAGTCCACTTCAGAATGTAATATAAAACATATGAGAAGGAGACACAAGGGTTCGATATAGTAAATAAAGATTCTCAAATTTGAAATGAGGGGGGGGGACGTAATGTTTAACTGTTTTAATCTTAAAGGATCTCGCCCAACAATATGCGTTTTCAAATGAAATAATTAAAAGCAAATTAATACTTAGTACATTTTTTAACATGAAATTATGAAGCTTATTACTAACCTTCCAGCCTAAATCCTTGAAACTCACATACAGGGCCCATCTTTGACAGTCTCTGTTATTCTTATTTGAATCACGTTTTTCCTGGTGAACCCCTAAAAACAAGAAAGGTAGTTGACCATAAAAGTACAAATGACACTTATACAGGTATTACCGTACCCCGTTTTGAAGCAGAAAAAATTGTCAAAAGTGTACAATATTGTGCAGTAGATTTCCCCGCATAATAGTCGCACCTAGAATTTCACAATAAAAATTGGCAAAAAAGTGCGACTATTACGCGAGTAAATACGGTATTAAAATTCAGTATACATTAGTGGAAATTTGAGAATAATTTCATCCAACATGTTAGTGCAATTCGTTTTGAATAGTTTTCTTATTGTACATTAGAATTAATATTTTCTTCAACCTTTCAGAACTAATACAATGGTGCGATCGGACCATTCATCCCTTGTACCGATAGAATGCAGCGTGATTTGAGCAAGTTTACGAATCGTGAATTATATTACTTGCACTATGAAGGTTTGAAAGGGGAAAAACGCAGAACCGTTAACAAGATAATGTATTTCATTCATAAGGAACATTAAGATCGACTTTAATAGCAGTAAATTTCACCATACTTATACTAACACTGATATTACAAATAGTATAATAACATTTTCTCATATTTGGTTCGTATTTTGACGTGATATATTGTCCGATAATATATAATATAATATATGTAATATCCGTCAATAAATTTCATTACTTTAAGTAGCTTATTTGAGGACAATTTGTTATAGAAAAACTATAGAGTAAAAAATGGGAGGAAGAATTCTTCTTCTTATTGATATCAATACTAAACTTTAAAGTCTGAGTATATCTGATTAACAGCTGCACGTAATGAAGAGAATCAATTAATAATTTTATTAAGGGAATCGACGTAATTGTCACTGTACTGAAGAAGAGTGGATGAAAAGGGATCATTCCTTTTTCGGATAAGAAGGGACTACCCTTTTACTAGTGAAAAGTCGCTTCGTCGGAGGTTGATGCCATTTTGGCCCCACAGCGGGATCGGATGTCACTCCTTAGCTGTCAAATACGACACTTTCGAATTTAGAGAGTAAGTCAATTGTTAGTTATTTATTCTGAAGATGGGACAGAAATGAATTTCAAGCACTAATTAACTCGTAAGTGAAATAAATTACACTTCTTGATTGATAACTTATTCCTTACAACGACTCAAAATAATTGCAAGCTTGCACTTACGAGTGCTCAGTGATTGCATGACACTAAGAAAAAATACCCAACTTTTCTATCCCTCTCGTAATAGACGAAGGGCATCCTAATAGAAAAAAATGTTTGAAAAACTAAGAACTGCATTATTTTGCACGAACATGGTTGTCACTAATAGCCAATATTCCTTATAAATGGAACATTTGGTTAAGATGAGAAATTTCTATTTTCGACTTTCAGATGTTGTTAAAATTCTACGTAATAATAATAATAAATAAAGAAAAATATGTTTGAAAAAAAGGACGTAAATATGGTATGAGCCGAAGTAAAAATGAATTGCATTAATATGCATATTATACATTTATTTGTATAATATGCATATTAATGCAATTGTTTAAAACAGCAATCCCGTACTCATATTGAATGTCAGCCAAATGCACGATCAGGAAGTACTTAGGGTTATTATTTAAACTAATGAGTTATTATCATTTTGGTCTTTACTGTAACTTCTCATTCTGTTTTCCTCATCAACATGTAAATGAGATAGCTAGTATTTAAACTGAGACTTCTGGATTTTAAGATGAAACGTATTCTACATGTTAGTTTCTGCTAGCTTTGATACTTGTAATTATTCGGCATTGCTTTTTAATTGCTGCCGAAACTTTGATTTTGATGTTCTGGTAGAATTAATGAGCCAGCTTCGAGCAATATTTAACTGTGTAATCTTTGGCTACTGTTTCACGTTTAATTTAAATCTGACTGTTCTGTTTAATTGCATAATAACCACGAGCCTGGGCTGATATTTTTAGCATGAGAGAATGTGCTTATGTTCTAAATTATGTTTAAATAAAATGGCTATTTAAAAACCTTCTCACGACTTTTAGTTACTTCGGACACAGTGATAATTCACTTCATGTTTGATAGAGTTTTTGGACTAATTAACATTTCCAGACCAAGTAAAACTTCACAAGTAGCTATTAACAAAATGGGAGTGAATACATACATATATATATATATATGCATACTCTGCACCATACTTACCCCTAATGTATGGATACACCTGTTTATAACATGGGTTTACGGGTGATGCATGTGTGTGATGTGTTACGTATAAGTTAATATGTTTGGGAATTTTACTTTTAAAATTTATTTCAATAATGTTCAGTTGTATTTTCTACTATATTTTTCTGTATACATAAGAGCGCCAAAAACTCCACCTAATGTGTACTGAGAGGAGGATGAGTTAGCGGAAATGTCGACTTTTATGGAAAAAAAGCTGTTTTATTCACAACTCATGGTATTTTATGCAACACCTAAATCATTTGTAATTCCATCAATACATATCTTTCGTTCCGTCTTTTAAGGTATCCAATTTCATTTCCATTGTTGTGTTAATGTGCGTCCTTTTCTTTCGTTATTTTCACCTGCACAGATAACAACATCTGCAACGCAACATTTGTAAGCCTGGATATAAACTGAGACTTTCTACCCAGAATTAATTGAAAGTTTAGCTTACAGTAGGGTATAACCATAAACAGACTAATATCTAACAACAGAAGAGTACACTTAAGTGAGCAGTAATTGACAGAGTTTACTTGTCTTTTTTCAGCCATTTTATTATTAACAGGAGGAATGGCGCAGAGTAGGAATTTTTACCAGAACAACAAAACCTGCCACCAAATTCATTAAAGTGGGTCTATGCAATAGTGCCACAAAGCATAAGATACACAAAAATTGCAAAGTTAGAGTTTCGTAACAAATCTTTGAACAAAACAGGAAAAAGCAAGATACGCTTAAATAAATACAATAATTAAAAGTGCACTTGTATTGTTTGCGATGCAGAGGCAAGATAAAAATTATTACGGTCTAGCTATTGATAAACCACATTTTTTCAAAGATAATGCTCTGCTTCACCAGTAGATTTGGAATATGCAGGAATCGTGTGTCAAGTTTGCGAGACTCTATTATACTTACTTTTTATTTATGAAATTTAAATTTTATTCCCTTCTCCCACTGGCTAAAATTATGAGACTCTTTTTTCGGTTAAAATTTTCTTTAAATACCGACTCATTTACTAAATATTTGTCAAAACCTATATAAAAAATAATAATTAGGCTGAAGAAGAAATTCAAATTTATATTATTTGTCTATATCTCTAGGATTCTAAGCACCGTTTAACATCAAATGTGTGAATCAAAATGAATTCGCGAGTCGTAAATCTGCTTCGGGGTCCAGGCTTTTAAAAATAAATTTAAATCAGAACGTAGGAAACGGGATGTAAAATGGGGCAGGGAAAATTTGGTGTTATAACTTTTTAGAGACACAGAGAGTTAAAGAGAGAAAAAGCTAAGTTGTAGTGTCTCATTGAGCGAAGTATAAGCTTCAGAGCAATTTTTCATGCTAAAATTAATCCAGGAGTTCTTAAGCTCAGGAATTCCGGTGATAACAAAATGCATTCATGATGAATTTGCCCCTTGGAGCTCCTGGAAGGTGCTAAGTTAGAACTGCAATAAGGGAAGTAGGCGTCCTACACATGTTCTATCGGATATAAGTCCACAGAATATAAGGACCATTTATTCTCTCTCTATCCACTTGCGCTAGATTCCTTTGCTCTCAAGATGATCGATCACTAGTGCAGCGCGATGTGTGTGTGTGTGGGGGGGGGCTGCTGAGCATTATTGTCCATTAGGAAAAAGTTATTACCGGTCACAGCCCTGAACAACTTGACAAAAGTATCAAAAACTTCATCACAGTACATTTCAGCATTCAATAGTTACACTAGTCAAAATGTGTAGATCAGTGCATTTACGAATGCTGTCCACCAAATACCACGATTTTAAAATCTTTTAAACCATTACCTGTAACAGATGTTTTCCGGCTTATTGCATTTATTTTGCCCCCCCCTTCGAGATTGCAACACGGCTGGAAACACTCTTCAAACGAAAACAAGCCTCATCAGTAAAAAAAAATCAGCTGTAGTCCGTGGTCCGTCAATCATGATGATCTTTGCACTGCTGAAACCGGGCGCATTTCCCAACTCATAGTAGTAAGACTCAAATCATGGGCTTCCTTGCATACAGATATCTTTTATGCAACCCGTGACTATTTTAATAATCGCTGTCAAATTAGGTTAAGCTATTTGGTCATGGCAAACCATATGAGCGTTATCTATCTGAAGTTAGAGATACCTTCGTGGAAGATTTTCAGAGAGAAACTGAATTCATAAAGTCAAACTTTTCTATAGTGTATGTTAAATAAATCAATAGGAAATTCATGTCATAAATGAAAATCATGTGTAACACCAGATTAAAAGAATATTCTGAATTTATAAGTTAACGCATATTTAGCGTAAAACGCTGTCATTCTTAAACCTAAATCAGGGAAACGGGAAAAAAAGGTTATAATTCCTTGTAAAAGAATAAAATTCCTAAATTGCGTAAAAAATGGCAAGTATATTTTCTAATGACACTGAAATACTAGTGAAAGAAGCACTTAAAATCTGAAATGACCAAAGATGTTACATACGAGCAGCATATATTATAAAAGCCTCTTTTTTATCACAAATCTGTTGTGGATTAAGGTGTGTTTTAAGCAGGAGGTAATGTTTGTGAAAATATACTAGCTTTTCTGAAATGACTTATAATTAGATTTTCACTTTCTTTTAAGAAAAATGATAGTAGTGTAAAATGGAATGTGAAAGGCATTGCAGTCCGACAGCGAATTAAGTTCGGACTATATTAAGTTCGAATAAATTAATCAAGATTATACGGTAGAATTAAAAGCAACAGGAGTTCAAAAGAAATTTTAGAATTAAAAGTAATGTGTCAAAGTTAAGAAGATGCCATTGGATAAAAGCACTGAACACTCGTAATTTTGGTCCAGT